GTGATTAGCGAAGCTACCTACACAATAATGAAACGTAGGTACTACGTACATCTATTGATTAAATCATATTTAAATCATGTGAAACCAGCAACATTAGTGAATATACAGACAAACCATTTAAATTTTTCTTAATTGCTTATTTTACTAGTATTATTAGCATGTATACACATACACAAAGTGCGTCAAGCAGGGTTGCCAACTTTATTTTTTTGGAAGATTGTACCATACATTTTAAAAGATCGTACTTTGAATTAAAAAATAAATGGCAATAGAATGTGGTATTACTATAACTTCAACGCAAAATTTAACCTTTTGGTATAATATTTAAGAATCCGTACACCAATTTAGCAACGAAACTTTACTACGAGCTTTATTTACTAAAGAAAAGGGGCTCGGAAGAGACTTTGTCATGAAATCCACACGAAACAATAAACACCAGTATCATTACAACTTAAACGGGATATTTACCATGTTTATTATTACTTTAAAAAAATATATTAATAAACACTAGTACATATAACAACAAGTACGGATACTTGTATTATAATGTTTCTTAATGCCTTACTCGAATTTTCTTGATTATTAAAGATTCAAATTAAAAGATGTTTTATTTCACACTGAAGAATGTTAGCACAGTATTTTAGCATAGTTTTATAGTATTTAGAATAATTTTGACATTTTAATTCAGTAGCAGTCTCCCAGATTTTGTATTAGTCGTGTTGGCAATTGGCAACACTGCTTAATAGAACTTGACTGCACTTGACAACTTGATGGTGGTGTTAGATTAGATCTGCTATTACAAATTTCTTGAAACATTTCATAAATAAGATACATTTGATGTTGAGATTGAATTGCAACTGAACTGCCTAAAATGAACCCGACTAATAAACTTGCGTGTATACGACATACTATGTATTCAGGGCCGCAAAATTCAAGGAAAAAGGTGCAAGCCGCATTCATAAGACATCATGAAAGTTCTTTTAGTGATCTATAGTGAAGAAATCAGATTACTATAGGATTTCAAATCAGATTTACGTGAGTGAAGTTTATTTGATACTCATTGGTTTATGTTCTAGAAAAGGTCGTTATGCTCGATAAGGTTAGTACCTATTATGTATTGAGAAAGTTTTAACAAATTGCAGAATAATGATTGTCACTTTGTTCATTTTAGGTATGCAAACGTCGTATTGCCACGGTCAGAGCGTAGCAAAGGGTGTGCAAGGAGTTTAGGACTTTATTTTTCATTTTCATCAAGAATGAAAATTCTTATAAATGGCTAGTTTTTCATTTTCACTGATTAGTATACCTAATAATAAAGCGAAAATCATTTGGACACCTTTTATCTAGGCCTTATGAGGGTCACAGTTCTAACCTAACCTAACCAAATGTGTTGGGGTGCCCAAAAAGTGTTTTACATACTCCCCCAACTGACCTTTAGGGCTCAATTTCAGGCGAACCTGAAGCCTTTTATCTAGATAAAAAGTGCCTAGATAATAGTCATCTTATTTTTAGGTATACTAAACGATAGAAATGAAAAACCGAGCCACTTATAAGAATTATCATTTTTGATGAAAAAATAATTAAAAGTCCTAAACTCCTTGCACACCCTTTGCTACACTCCAACCAATGCCACACCATGTCACAATCATGTGAAATGCATTCTCTATAAAAATAATATTTGTACTAAAGATATGATGTATGGAAAACAAAATGAACATGTTGCATAGAGCATGTTTATGCAATAATATGGCAAATAGTCAGGCCATCAGGACTTTTCATTAATGAAGAATTTGGATTCTTAGTAGCTAGCCCTGATGGTAAAATTATTCGATAATAAAAATATACAAATAACTAGTTTTTGTCGCGTGAATATTTTAAATAGGGTTCAGTAGCGTAAGCCTAAAAACTTTTCTTTTTTACAGATATTCAAAATATTCGATAAGCATCAGAAAATAGAAATTTTCCTATTCATTTGGAAAATGATGTTTTAGTTATGAACAAAAAGCATAATTACTATTATCAAGTAAGTATATCATTATTATCAAATATCATTATTATTATTTCATTATTATCAAATATCATTATTTCTTGGTATGTATGTATAAAAATAATGTATTTCTTGGATTGTTTCTTTTTAACAGCTATTATTATTTTGATTCTAGGTCCAGGGTCAATTGCGAATTACCAAAATGAATAAATGTTACTTCATTTGCTATATATCAGTCACCCAACCATTGACTGTCATAGAAGTTAACCAGAATGAGGAATTTATCAGTACTATGATGCCGAAGTTGGTGACAGTTTTTAAAAGATGTGTACTGCCAGAAATTATTTTGAGAAGAGTTGAGAAAAATGCTAAATGTCTGGACATCAAGGAATTAAAAGGTATAAAAATATAAGTCTTATTCATTTCCTAACTTATTTCTCAGGGCTCTGAGGTGTGGGTTCAGTAAGAATAGTCTAACAAAACTGTGTAAATTCATTTGTTGCAGCGAAAACTGCGTCTTCCAGCATTTGATTCAGATTGCACGGAAATTATAAATGGAAGTAAAAAGCGATAAACAGAAGACTGATATGGCGCGGCGGTGGCGGCGGTGACTGCAAAAAGAAGACATTTTATTATAATATATATAAGAATCTTTGTATGGTGGTACGAGTTGATTGTTCGAATCCAAGCCGGCACTTTGCTTTGTGTAGCCTGATTCTCAGCAGTGTGAACATTATAGAATAATTAATAAGCTATTTTTGCACGTAGCTATGTATAGTTGGTGTTATTTTGTTAGTCCATAAGATTTTTCTGTGTAGATAAGTTTGCCTCATGCATTTAGGTACCAGCCTAACAATTCAATTGTAAAACAATATTTATTGAAGTTCAAAATTGTAAAATAAATAGGTATTCTTGAAACATAAATAAATGTTATGGTTAGCTAGCAACCACTTGTGCGATGTATAGTTTGTGTTATTTTGTTAGTCCATAAGATTTTTCTGTGTATATAAGTTTGCCTCATGCATTTAGGTACCAGCCTAACAATTCAATTGTAAAACATTATTTATTTAAGTTCAAAATTGTATAATAAACATGTATTCTTGAAACATAAATAAATGTTATGGTTAGCTAGCAACCACTTGTTGTTGGTTTTATGACTGTAATGTTATACTAATTAATTGAAATAAATAAATGTAAGATACTTGCAAACTTACATGTGCCGTTATATATACTTATGATGTTATTTATATTGTGATCTACATACATAATAATTCTTTATAATACTAAATTTAAAATTATAAAACTAAGTAAATATCAAAACAATTAAAAAATTATGTTATCTTTGTATGGTGGTATGACTCCATGGTTTGAATCCAGATGGAAACTATCTAAGTAAATGTAGTGAGAGTAAATAAAACGATTATTTTATGAAAATGTTAACTTAGTTTTACTAAATAAATATTATTAATTTATAGTAAGGTACAATAAAAAGCTTTACAATGGAATAAATAGTCTTTCATTTATTTATTTAGTAAAGTCACTATTTACACATTACAATTTAGGTTCAGTCACATTACAACAATTTTTTAGGTGTAGGGTCTTTTTTTTTTTTTTTAGGGGGGAAAATCATCGAATGACTGCTCCCGCCTGGGTGAGGCGGAAGGGAGTGTCACACTCTTACTGACTAAAAACCACCCCGTTCCTTTTCCTGCACGTCGAGCCGGAGCCCCGGTTACCCGTTAGGTTCTCCGCGACAGGTGTAGGGTCTAGGGGTATAGTATATAGTGTACAGTGTAGGTACCTATTTTACCTAAAATCAATTTTATGAATAATTTGCTAGATATCGAGTCCAGAAACAAAAGTATACTTAGACCAATTATTATACTAATAAGAAATAGATGGGAACATAATTTCAAGTATGTAAATTAATATTTTTATAGTATAACGACATCTGGTGGTGTCGAAAGTTACTACTATTTACTTTGCATGTGTGTGTAAACAGTAAAGTGAAGCGGCTAAATCTTTATTTTGTAGTAATCTTTGTATGAGACCAGATAACAAGCACAACGACTATCTAAAAAATCAAGTTAATGCCCTAGGTTTCGCGAACAATAAAGTTATCTATTAAAGATTTCGAAGTTAGGCGTAAAACGTGAAAATGTTCCAAATTGTGGAAGTTACGCCATCTAGCGACAAAATGGCATTTGAGATCATCATCCATCCACCTTAAAACAATGACTAATACAAAATTTTATAGCGGTACAAAACTTCCATACAAACCTGCCATTCTCCTTTAAAAGCGAAGAATACTTCAAAAAAAACGCCGTTTTATTTACACTCAGCGTCATCTATCGCCAAGTAGCGTAACTACTACACAATGTTACCACGTGTTTTTTAACATATGAAACAGCAATTAAATGAGTCGAAAAGTGCACCGAATAATTAGTGTAGATTAACACCAAATAAGCGCTATAGATTAAAACGTGAAATTTACAATTAGTAGGTAATTAGTTGAATTGTTTGAATTTGCATACAGCGCCATCTATACGAATACACACAGCACCATCTATACTAATATTTTTGTTTTACCTCGGGAATATCACATTTTTCCGGGATAAAAGTACCCTATGAATGATTCAATCTGAACTTCTAACTTTACGTCTGCAAAATTTCAAAGCAATCGGTTTAGTAGTTACAGCTTGAAAGCAGAACAAAGAAACAAACAAACAAACTCACTTTCCGATTTAGAATATTAGTAAGGATAAGTGCCTAAAATAAATTCATAGATCGTTAAGTATGAAAGTCGTTAAAATTAATTGGAAGTGTCTATAAAAGTCTAATCATGAATTGATATCACTTTAAGTAGGTTTTAGATGATTGAAAAAAGTTCATGAAAGACGAAATTCTGTCGAAATTGATTTAAGCTTAGAACAGACTTAAATCTTCATTCATTCTTCCGTTAAGATTATTTTTCCCAAATAAATGATCAAAACCTGTTTCAATTACGACTTACCATGCCAGGTTTGTAAAACGAGCGTGATCTCATAGTAGACCGACTGGTAAGGGTCGAAGGGCAACCAGTACAAGAAGTGGAGTCCCATGGGAGAGTCGTACCCGAAGTAGCGCGCCAGGGTGATGAAGTAGGGAGGAGACAGGAAGCTGATCAGTAAAGCGTTGTTGCACCAGTAGTAGCCTATGAATAAGACGAGACTTTAAAACATTTCATTTAAATCTGGCACAGCTTACGTTATTTCAGACTGAACAATGAAGAAGAACGGTGTGATGGCGGCCTAATGGAATAACTACAATGATTACCTACGCAGTTTACAGAAACAGCGCTGAAATACTTAAAAAGCCTTTCCAATTCCAACGCCTCTACCAAGCATGGAGATTGTGGCATACTCTCTTGTGAATAGGGTCTCATAGACCAGCAGCAGGCTGTCTCGGCCGTTGATATAAAAAATGGCAACTTACCAAGTTATAATAACATTAAAATTCCTTTGGCTACCTTTAACAATAAAGTTGAGTTGTTTGAGCGCGGCGCTGATGATCTGGTGTTCTTCCTCTGAGACCTCGCCCTCCGGCCACATCTCGCGGAGCTCGTTGGCCAGGTTCTCGTACACAGGCCGGTGGACCACCATCTTGATTGACTTGAACATCGCTGGTAAATTATTGGTTAGTAAGGTTTGATAAAGACAAGATACGACAAGATTTGAAAACAAATCAGTTGCGTCTATAGTATTTTTTCACAGGTTTAATTTACCTTACTGAAATAATACTCATTGTCTAAGGTTTGTAAGACTTTGTTTAAGGTTCATCTAAAGTCGAAAAATATTAGAAAAAAAAGAAGTAGGTCATTGCAGTGATGTGCCGATAGAAGAAAATAAAAAGAAAACAAATTAAGTATGTTGTGGTTAGTTGCTTATTCCAAGAAATCTTTAAAGAAAATAAACGCTATTGGAGCGTTTAGACTGAGCAAAAAGGAAAGGAAATCCTTAAAAACATCTATCGATCAAGTAAATTTACCACTACTTACATAGTACGACACATCCGAAGCAGGGCATCGTACGGAACACCTTGATGGAGTCCCGAAAGGTCTTCGCCTCGTAGGCAGTAGTCAACATGCTGACCAGCTCCGAGGGACCCACCAGGAATAGGTTCATCATCTCGAACCAGTAGAACATATCCCATAGCATACTGGCGTACAGAAATACATATTTAGTTTGTGGCGACACTAATGTTTTATGACATTTTTTATGAGTTTTCAAGTGTGTAGCTGCGCCTGCGACCCTATAGCGTTAGCACCCCAGTCGTCTCCTAGCTTTGGTTAACCAGTAATATTTTGTAGTTTTAAATTGGTTGTGAATTGTGTATTTAGTAAGACAATATAAACACAAAGTTTTACCTATTTTATTTTGGACTATCATTGAACACATGAACTATACTGGAGTCAAGTGAATTTAAATAAGAATACACACCACATACTAAATTGGTGGCCCCGCGAAAACTTTTCCGTGGCAATTTCGTGAAAAATTAAATAAACTACAATATGTCAATTTCTGACCTTGCGGCGATTATCGTAGCCTCGCGAATTTCGGAGTTCTGCACACATCAGCCGAGAGTGTGGTTTATACGGACTAAAGCGATATTAGCACCTCAAAAACTAGGAGACGCCTTAAACTTCGATTTGGTAGTGTCAAAACTAGGAATTGACGCTGTAAGCCAAATAACTGATTTTTTAATTAACCCGCCTGAAGCCAACAAATATGAAGCCCTCAAAGAGAATTTAATATCTATTTATGAAGATTCTAAAAGTAGAAAGATTATGAAGGAGTTGGCGCGTAACAAAGAACCTGATGACACATTAAGGGTGCTCAGGCAGAACCTGTTACCAACAACGGTACGTAGTTTGCTGGTAGCCACAGAGAACAAATTACTGCAGTCCCGGATGACCTATTTGAAGGAACTAAAGTTAACTTTACTGCTGAGGTTAACAGGCAACCTCAACCATCGTCGTCGTCAACGTCTTCAGAGAATACAATACTAGCGGAAATCGCTAAATTGAACATAAGACTTTCGCAAATGGAGAAGAGAACGAGAAACAGATCCCGAAACAACAACTGCAATCAAGGGCGGACGGGACGAGGCAGGAGCGTTACACGATCAGCGACGAGGAACCCGAATTGGTTGTGTTTTTACCATTTCCGGTACGCAGGAAACGCGAAGAAATGTGTAGAACCATGCGCATGGGAAAATAAGTTGGAAAATTGGACCGGTAAAGCCACAGGCGAAAATCTGCGCCATATCTCCGACCCACCGACTTTGTGTTACGGACTTGAACTGTGGTTATATTTTTTAGTGAACATGGGCGCCGATATTTCAGCTTTACCGGTGAGTAGGTAATATAAATAAGTTAACACCAGATAACCATTTTAAATTATACGCTGCCAATGGTACAGAAATTAAAACTCATGGCATTAGAAATATGATTTTAAATATAAAATTAAGACGTAATTTTCGATGGGATTTCGTATTAGCCGAGGTTACACAACCTATATTAGGTGTAGATTTTCTAAGTTTTCACAATTTGTTAGTAGGTCTAGACTAAAAGACAACACTTAATGTTGTTGTAAAATGGTTGGAACCAAAATTTTAAGGCGAAAAATGCTTAAAAAAACACAACGTTACCAAGTTTTTAAAGGTTCAGCGTCATCTACCGCTGAGTTGCGTTACTACTATATAGACACCAATTAGTAATTCGTCGACTTATAATACAACAAATAAATGAGTCAAATAGTACACCAAATAGGTACCTTTAACAACCTATAATATGTAAAATACACAATTTAATGTGAAATGGTAGGAACTAAAACTTAAAAGCGAAAAATATTTGAAAAAAAACACAACGCTATCCCGTTTTATAAACACTCAGCGCCATCCATCGTCAAGTAGCGTAACCACAACAGAGACACCAATTTCGTGTATCTTTAAGAACCTACAATCTATAAAATACGCAACTAAACGTAAAATGATTAGAACCAAAATTTAAAAGCGAAAAATACTTAAAAAACACAACGTTACCCCGTTTTATAAATCCTCAGCGCCATCTATCGCCAAGTAGAGTAACTACTACATTGACACCAATTTCTTGTACCTTCAACCGAAAATGTATAAAATACACAATTCAAATATGGTAGGATCCAAAATTTAAAAGCGAAAAATACTTAAAAAACACAACGTTACCACGTTTTTAAAAATGACATAACTCAGCCCCATCCATCGCCAAGTAGCGTAACTACTACAGAGACACCATTTTCGTGTACCTTTGAGTACCTAAAATCTATAAAATACGCAATTTAATAAAAAATGGTTGGAACCAAAATTTAAAAGCGAAAAGTACTTAAAAAACACAACGGTACCCCGTTTTATAAATACTCGGCGCCATCTATCGCCAGGTAGAGTAACTACAACATTGACACCAATTTCTTGTACCTTTAACAACCTAAAATCTATAAAATACGCATGTTAATCCCTACTAATATTATAAATCTGAAAGTGAGTTTGTTTGTTTGTTTGTTCATTCTTCGCGCCGTAACTACTAAACCGATTGCTTTGAAATTTTGCAGACGTAAAGTTAGAAGTCCAGATTAAATAATAGGGTACTTTTTATCCCGGAAAAATGTGATATTCCCGAGGGAAAACAAAAATTAGTGTAGATGGCGCTGTGTGTATTAGTATAGATTGCGCTGTATGCCATTTAAAACAATTCAACTAATTACCTACTAATTGGAAATTTCACGCTATAATCTATAGCGCTTATTTGGTGTTAATCTACACTTATTCGGTGCACTTTTCGACTCATTTATTTGCTGTTCTATATATAAAAATACTAAAAAACACAACGTGGTAACGTTGTGTAGTAGTAACGCTACTTGGCGATAGATGGCGCTGAGTGTTTTGTGAGTTACCTATAGCTTGTTTTGTTTTGTTTTTGTGCATGATAAAAGTAAGTTTTGTTTTGTAATGGGTTGGTACCTATAAGTATTTAAGGTTACGAAAGCACCAATAACTTTAATTTTTTGTTTGTGTCAATCAAGTGGGTCAAATAGTTTTGTTTAGAAAAAGTTATATATGAAATATTTTATTTTGAGAATAGGTACTTTACAGATTACAGAATTTTTTGTACAAGTATACTTTACAATGTAGTTCGTCATGTTTTGTATTTTTGATATTTTTCTTTTCTGTTTACTTTATTGTCGATGTGTCCTTAGTATTTAAGACTAATTGTATTTTCTGTCATTTTTGCAAAATTTTAATTACCTATATGGGAGGAATATTGTGACGACACTAATGTTTTATGACATTTTTTATGAGTTTTCAAGTGCGTAGCTGCGCCTGCGACCCTATAGCGTTAGCACCGCAGCCGTCTCCCAGCTTTGGTGTTAACCAGTAATATTTTGTAGTTTTAAATGGGTTGTGAATTGTGTATTTACTAAGACTACATAAACACAAAGTTTTACCTATTTTATTTTAGACTATCATTGAACACATGAACTATACTGGTGTCAAAAGAATTTCAATAAGAATACACACCACTTACTCAATTGGTGTCCCCGCGAAAACTTTTCCATGGAAATTTCGTGAAAAATTAAATAAACTACCATATGTCAATTTCTGACCTTGCGTCGATTATCGTAGCCTCGCGAATTTCGGAGTTCTGGACGCATCAACCGAGAGTGTGGTTTATACGGACTGAAGCGATATTAGCACCTCAAAAACTAGGAGACGCCTCAAAATTTGATTTGGTAGTGTCAAAACTAGGAATTGACGCTCTAAGCCAAATAACTGATTTTTTAAATAACCCGCCTGAAACCAACAAATATGAAGCCCTCAAGGAGAAGTTAACAACCTATAATGTATAAAATACACAATTTAATGTTAATGGTAGGAACTAAAACTTAAAAGAGAAAAATACTTGAAAAAAACACAACGCTACCCCGTTTTATAAACACTCAGCGCCATCCATCGTCAAATAGCGTTACTACTACAGAGACACCAATTTCGTGTACCTTTAAGAACCTAAAATCTATAAATTACGCAATTAAATGTAAAATGATTAGAACCAATATTTAAAAGCGAAAAATACTTAAAAAACAGCGTTACCCCGTTTTTTAAACACTCAGCGCCATCTATCGCCATGACTAACTACTACATTGACACCAATTTCTTGCACCTTCAACCTAAAAACAACGTTACCAAGTTTTTAGAGATACAGCGTCATCTACCGCTGAGTAGCGTTACTATCCAATTAATAATACGTCAACTTATAAAACAACAAATAAATGAGTCGAAAAGTGCACCGAATAGGTACCTTTAACAGCCTATAATATATAAAATACACAATTTAATGTTAAATGGTAGGAACTAAAACTTAAAAGCGAAAAATACTTTAAAAAACACAACGCTACCCCGTTTTATAAACACTCAGCGCCATCCATCGTCAAATAGCGTAACTACTACAGAGACACCAATTTCGTGTACATTTAAGAACCTAAAATCTATAAATTACGCAATTAAATGTAAAATGATTAGAACCAATATTTAAAAGCGAAAAATACTTAAAAAACAGCGTTAGCCCGTTTTTTAACCACTCAGCGCCATCTATCGCCAAATAGAGTAACTACTACATTGACACCAATTTCTTGTACCTTCAACTTAAAATGTGTAAAATACACATTTCAAAAATGGTAGGATCCAAAATTTAAAAGCGAAAAATACTTAAAAAACAACGTTACCACGTTTTAAAAAATTATATTACTCAGCGCCATCCATCGCCAAGTAGCGTAACTACTACAGAGACACCATTTTCGTGTACCTTTGAGAACCTAAAATCTATAAAATACGCAATTTAATGTAAAATGGTTGGAACCAAAATTTAAAAGCGAAAAGTACTTAAAAAACACAACGTTACCCCGTTTTATAAACACTCGGCGCCATCTATCGCCAGGTAGAGTAACTACAATATTGACACCAATTTCTTGTACCTTTAACAACCTAAAATCTATAAAATACGCATGTTGATCCTTACTAATTATTATAATTATATTAATTTAATTTAATTTAATTTAATTTATTTATTTATTTCGGACAACTTAAATCCATTTGGTTAGTAAACAAACAACTTATAAAACTAGTTT